AGTTCTTCTAGCTGACTGTCAACGATTTTATGAACAAATACCAGTTTTTCATTTCACCGACCAAAACACACTTTGAACATTAACATTTGCTGGCTAACATTATCCCTCGGGGAAGGCGATGGCTTGGTATGCCATCACGTGTTCTAGGCATCTCAACCTATTCAACTTCCCTACCTTGAAGACTAACTTACCCTCCTCACCTAACACTTTATGCGTAACCTCAACAGCAATCGCCATATTATACTGCTTTACTCATGAGATAGAACACAGACACCTATAATCAAACCCCGGTATTCCTCTCATATTTTCCAGTATCAGGGGTTACTTCTAATAGTCTAGGTGTACGGTATCATCAGCAAACTGTAAGTTGATGAGACTATTCCCTGATAAGTCTCTAAAGTCAATGATAGACTATCCTACTAATATATGTGTGATTGGATTGAAATGATATAAGGATGACAGTTTAAGAATTCAGCCTTGTGTTACATCCCAATTGGAAATGTGTTTTCTCGGATAATTCGCAAACAATAATCACTGAATAGAAAACATTCTGTAGAATTTATGAAACTCATTAACTGACGCAATACTTTTGCAGGCATTATAGTGTTTCCTCAATAAAGCGAGATTTGTATATTTCGGCTGCATAAGACGAGTAAGTGGTCTCCTGGCAATACCAATGACTGCAACAAGTCTTGGAATCATGCACCACAACTTTTACTTTACTGAATACTCCAGCAGATTTGAAATATACACTTGACAAATATCAAATTTATACAGGAATTCAGTAGGATTTACCAAAATAAAAGCACTTTCGGTTTACATAGGAGATCTCCATGCCGAATTCATTCCTCCGAGGGCCTACACAGATTACAACTTCAATTAAATAACATTGCCGTTGAAGAAATTCTATTCTTCATTACTAAACTTAATGATAATAATAATGTTTTATTCTAGAAACAGGAGCATTCCTAATGTTTGATTTTATGTAAATGCAGTTACATACAGTTGCACTAAGAACTCAATGCAACTCGGTGCACAATAGTATATACACAAATAAACTGAAAAATAACGTCCTCCTTACCTTCTGAACAACTTTTCCTTATTACAGGATAATAACTTTCTTTCATGTATGAGCCTGAGATATGTCTATGAAATCACAATATTATATCAGTTAAATCTCGCCCCGAAATCAAGGCCACTTGAAACCAATAGCAGCATAAAACAAACGTCATTGAGGGGATATGCAATAAAGTCGCTCTATTGGACCATTACCGCCATCCAGAGGATTTACTCATATACTTACTGCCATTGATCGATTTACCCGATGGGCTATTGCTTGTCCACTCAACGACATATCTGCAGAAAATACCGCCTTGGTTTTCTTAGATCGTTGGGTGTCAAACTACGGAGTACCAACAACGATTACAACAGACCGAGGAGCTCAATTTCAATCAACTCTGTTTCGAGAGTTTACGAGACTCCTTGGAGTGAACCATATCTCCACTACAGCTTATCATCCTACAGCGAATGGTCTGGTGGAACGTTTCCATCGACAACTGAAAAGCTCATTAATGGCACAAGCTGACTCATCTAAGTGGAGTGAACACCTACCGTTAGTTCTTCTCAGTATCCGATCAACTGTCAAAGAAGATTTGGGATGTACACCAGCTCAACTTGTGTATGGTACTACCCTCACGTTGCCGGGTCAGTTGGTTCCGTCTAATGATTCAACTGAAGTAAATATCTCCGACTTCACCAACCGCCTTACCCAGCAAATGCTCCAGCTTCGACCAGTCGCCCCTCGCCAATCACTTCAGAAATCACGTCAGAATACTGACGATTATCAGAAAAGTTTCTTTACTTGAAATGCATCAAACTCCTCTTGAGCACTTTATGTATGCCACTGCAGTGCAGAACACATCATCTCAAAATGAATATTCAAGCTATTGATATCTTAGGAAATTTCAAACTGACACATTATCCAAATGAGAGAACATGTCACTGTGCAACCATTAATATACACAGTTTCTGAATCAGAATCAAGATGAAAGGCGACTTCACGAGTACACTGACGGTCATCACCTGTCAAGCGAGATGAATTTGATATGAAAGCATACGCAAAAGTGAGCATTGCGTAGTGAAAGCTCAACCAGATATAATGCCTTTCGAGAGTAACTAGCGAAATATTCCACAGTGCTAGTGAATAAGGCAAACATTTCGAAAGGAAATAAACCACAAATATACCATCATTTGAAAAAATGCTCACGTGCGTTTACGGCTTCGAATGTCAACAGAGTGACGAAGACTTTGTGTGTGGTTACAGTTGACCATCTTCTTATGTGAACTGACTTTCCGTTGCCTTATTTATGCCGCAACAGGACGTCATAGTTATGGTTGAAATTGGTTGATTACAATAATCACGATTTCATCATTCCTTCAAGGAAAACTGTGAGTGTTGTAATCGGAGAGTAAGACAACCTCTCATGATGTTGAGTAACTCATATTATGAATCAGTGGAATCTGATACGTGTAATGGAATCTATTGATCTGCAGAAACACTTCAATCCAGATAGTAGGCAGAATTCATGTGACGGCGTCCACATGAAGAAATCACAATCGCTTTACACAGCGCGTGATCAGAATTGAAGAGTCACTCATCTTCACGAGGATTACAGTAAGCTTCACTATTCCGCTACTGAAGCCGGGTATTTCCCGCCTTTCAGTTCAACAATCAACACATTTTCGCATATTCTCAGAAAGAATGTTACGTTGTTATATTTCGTATCGATAAGTTCTTCATCACACTCCACAGTTAAGTTTCATTGATGTAATGATATTGTAATAATTATTATACATTTGCGTAATAACATGACTGTGTCGACTGTCTCTTCAAAAGTATTCATTCGCGAATTCATTCAAACGCAAACATGGCGAATTATGAGGACCAAGATAGGCATAGACAACAAGATAAGGACGTGCAGCCAGAAGCGAATGGTCGAATAAAGGCAGTGTCTCATATGTAATGCGTGTACAAATTCAGTAGCATGGTGCAGGAAATTAACCCGACTGGTTCAACCACCAATTTCACTGCTCCTCAACACTCTACACAATATCCTCGCTAAAGAACTCTCATTGTGCAAAATCACTTCTAAACTAGAAATAATTAGTAACACTGAAAAATTCTCATCAAAGAAACTAACAGATGAACTTGACCTGAAATCACATAAATAATTCCGTCCTGTGTAAATACTTTCATCGTACGATATGAAGCAATTGCTGTGCGTTATTTTTATGCGTCGGCTGATGATCATTGATTATGATTACTATTGAGTGAGATGGCTTCTTTCTAAAATTATCTACACTCAACTGTTCATACTGACACTGTCAGAATATCAACGACATGATTGAATAAAGACGAAATTCAGCTGACTAAGCGAAACTATGTGGAGTTCTCGACACCAATGACGACGATTATTTTGATTGTGGTGAAAAGTCATTTCCATCTCAAATGAACTAATTCCACTCATTCTTATGACGATAATCACAGATGGTTTTCGTTGATTCTCGTTTGCGCTCATCTCTTTGCCCTCTTTGACGATCCAGCCGGAGTGTAAAGCGTTCTCCAGAAAGACGAATCTGCAGAATATTTTGAAGAAGATTCTTCAAAATATCAGATCGTGTAAGCCAATGTGGATTGTTAATCTAGACATCCATTCCATTATATCAGTGGTGTGTAGCATCTCAGAGGGATTGAAGGCGACCAAGAAGCTCAATTGGTAGTACCAATTTGATACACATCTGATTGAACAATCCAGACTAGGCGGACATTACGCTTTCATGAAATCTTAGAGTTGACACCCGTAGTATCCTCGTTGATGGTTTCATTTAAGTTACTACACATTGAGACTTACATTCAATTTCTGTATTATGAATGCATTCGCCACCTTCTATTGTCAATCTCTATGGAGAAATATGCCTTTCAGTAGTCACGTCTTACTCAGTTGACGCAGTGTGTAGGCGATTTCTTTCAGGATTTCGGGATCACGTAGTCTACGTAGCCAGATACTTCTCTCTCGACCACGATGGTAACCGCGAAACAATTTTATCACGATGTGTTCTTCATTTATAGAGAGAAGACCAGTAGTTCAGCGAAGAGTTTATTTCCGGTGAATTCATTTTCAAAGCTATACAATCACAAATTTATACATGGTTACTTTGTATATGTGTGGACATTCAACTTGAAACAAGTGATTCAGCGAAGAGACTCTTTCAACGAATCTATTATCAAGCTGTACAATTGTAAATATATGGTGTGTCCTCCCTGCATCTTTTTTACTTGTCATTGTCCCTGTTTAACCCATAATGTTCATGCTTCTCTGTGTTCACACCACAACGAGTCAGCCTTGCTCTTTACACACTGGTTTATGGAGATGCATTCTGCAGACATTTCACCTAATGTAGGTATCACACAGAGTGTCCTCATTCAGTGGTATCTAAGTGATATCAGTGATCAGGCGGATAACTGTTATGACTATGCTAGGTATTGGAATTAGTGCCTAACATGTCACCAGTCATTCGATTCCAAATAATGTGGTGACATGTTTAACTTGCTCTTGATCCATTTGGTCAATGTTATCCGCGATCACCTCCTCCAAAGACATTGAATCAATTGCATTCGAATTGGAGTCTGTGACGCGTAAACGTCTCCACGCCTTTGTTTGCCAACAAAACAGTGGATCCAAACGCATCTAACACAATATTCATGTGTGTGAATAACACAAGGGACAATTTGTGCCATGAAAACACTCTCTTCTCTCAAAAGTATGTCAAACACACTGTACTACAGAGACACAGTCTGACAACAGCCACCTGATGACCAATATCACATTAGCACAAACGCAGCTCACTGAGTAATCCTGTACGGCGAATTCAAATAATAACGACACTCAATCACCACGACCAGTTGAATGAAGTTTGAATTCATGAAGAGAAATCGATGTAGCAGAAAAGTGATTTATTTAATTTAAATTAAAAATGAAATATTTACGGAAGCTACTACAGTCTACATGTATTCAGTGTTATGCCAACATTTGAAATTCATCGTGGAACTTCTCCTCAATTTCCTGTGTGAGAATAAAATCAGTTAGCAATATTATTGGATGAAATACTAGTGGTTAAAATAATCAAGAAAGAAAAATCGTGGGAAGGAGGATGATTGTGGGTTAACTGTGTACTTATTCATAGAATCCGGGAATTCGGAATATTTTCAGTGAGGGATGATTTCCATTTAAATCATTTTTCAGTGTATTTGAGTTGTTAAATTCAATAATTCACTATGGGTCGTGTGAATTTCACCAGCTTGATTGCATAGCCCCAGTTACATTTTTGAAATGTGCACACGGTTACTTACAACACCGCTCATGATGCTTTCATCAATCGATTAAACACAAATATTATGCAGTGTAATTTGAACCACACATTCATTAATCAATATTTGAGCTGGACAGCGAAATGATGGTCTATGGTGAAAAATATTATCTGAATGTTGCATTGAATATCCGAATCCAGTGTTGTGCTCTCCTCACTCATCATCCTACACTATCACACTTCGGTCGCTTCAAATTTGAGTCACCACCGCATTAACAGACCTTCGTATGATAAAATGTGGAAATATAATGCAAAATAAATCTCACCTCACAACCCCTTCAATAGAATTTGGTTCAGAGCTTTCCCATCTAGAAATGATAAAACAGATTGTGAAGTATTTGAATTGACCAGTGAAAGGGATTGTGGTCTATTACTGAGTTCTTCTGATCACAAACTAACATAAGACTGGGATTGACTATTCTCACAATCACACCACTGCCTTTATATTGTTTTTGCATAGAAATTCTCGATTGTGGAGTGTAATCATACACAGAAAATGAACTCACAAAGTTTAATAGTAAGCAAGTATCTGTGATCGTATAATGTATAAACTTCTACATTCAGTTGATGCAGATCTGAAAAATAAATCAAGGGGGGGGAATGAATACCTATAAGAACACACTTCACAGGATCATACATTTCAGGAGATAACACTGAATAGTGACATGCGCAAATACACCCTCATCGTGAGTGTATGTGAAAATGTTGTTCATCAATGTTTATCAAGAATGTAAAAAAGGAACAAATGAATACCTGGTTGAGGTGCTGGAGGCATATTCACGAAACATTTGTTTGTGGGGAACGCTTTGTTATTCTCTGTTCATGGGTGGGTAAGAGTAAAACACAGTTTGATTATTCACTCAAAGTTACAATAGATGCGTGGAGACTTGCATTTCGAAAGTCCTTACACCACTCAGACGAAACAATTCAGACTGGTTAGCGTAATAAAATGCTACTTACTTTTATATTCCAAGAATTCTTGTTGGAGACAGTTTTTTGCATCGACTAATTTCTTATGAGGGTCTGTAAGTAAATTAGTTTCACACGTATCAATCCATGTCTATTGTTTTTTTCAGTATAGTGCTCATACAAATTTATGCATGTTAAACGCAAACACAACCGAAATTCTGATGAATCGTCAACCACTTCGTCATCTTCATCGGAGCATGAGGAAATTATTCATCTTTGTTTCAAGTCAGTAAATAAAAGGCAGGACTAAAATAGCAATAGTGGAGATGGTGAAGTGCGAATATAGGCCAGATGAAGATTGTTAGTCAGAATATTGACGAGAAATAATTATGACGGCAAGTAAGTACAGAAATGATTCAAAATATTTAGCTTACCTCTGGGAAAATTTAGAAGTAAATCTGAAAGAGATAGACAGAAGTTAGCATATTCGGAAGCTCTGATCAATTTTTAGTTAGAAAACTTGCTAGCGTTCATCACACCACTGTCGAATAGACGTTCAGTATTGAAATGATCGGTGAGAGAGCATATCAACAACTGTGATTGAATCACGAAACCAACTTCTCATGTATCAGATGAAAACGCAGTTTAGTGAACATATTGCGTGAACAAAATGATATTTTAATTGAAAAAATTGCCACAACGTACTGTCAAATGACGCGGATCCCCAACCATACTTGTATGAATTTTCCAGGCAGTCCGTATCTAAAATAGGTAGTCCATCATTTCACAAAATTTGACTTGCTTACACTTTTTTATTTCTCCTTGTAAGCTTGCATTTTGACTGAGAATCTTGTCTAGGAAAACAGAAAAGTGGAAAGGGTCTAGTGGTTACAGCTTCTGGAGACATGTATTAAAATGCCATAATTATCTGTTGCATACTAGATAGAATGGTTGACATTTTGATGTCATCATTGGTGATAATTTCGGAAGAATAATTCGAAGTATGTTTTCGTCAGCGTAAAAATAATATCAACAATAAATCTTTAAGTTTTAAATACCTGTAGCATTTTTCACTTTCACTTCTGAATTTTTTATATCCGCAATGATCACGGGTATTTCTCCTGTAGAGAAACGAGAATATTTTGAATGAATTGTGATATGTTAAGTAAGAACATTGGATACAAGTGAATAAGGCACACTAGAAATCGTTTCATTGAAGAAGTCTGAAGTAATGTCAGTTGAGGCACTCAAGTCTGAGACCGTTCCTATGTAGGATTCTTAAGAAAGCAGGAATTAGGGTGGTGGCATTCAAACCTTCAACTTCACACATGTGGGACAAGTTATGTAGGTTAAAGGACACTGTTTGCTGACCCAATTAGACAGAATAACATATTTACAAAATACCTTGTAATCACTGTGAGATCAACTACATAGGTCAAACTAGTGGATCGGGAGTAGTCAGTTTGGCGGAACATAAGAATTTAGGTAACGTTAGAATGGTTGAACCAATCCACGAAGATAAGTAGCTTAGAAAACAGTTCAGCCATTGTACTGCGTGCATTAACAACGCACGAACACACAGTAGGGTGGGAGAGAAATAAAATTCTAAAACGTTATGTAGGTAGATGGAGAGAGGTTGGTTACTGAATGCTTGCTCCTAGAATCTACACTCAACGTTGCAATACAAAATGACTCATCACTCAAAACGGAATATGGAAAATACTACTCCCAATCAAGTCAAGCGATGAAAAATAATGGAATTGTGTAAACGAAGCTAGAAAGTCAAGTGAATACCTTGATATGGATATGACGAGTAGTAAATTGTGCACAAAACCTCAACAGTGAATATTACCGTATCAAAATAAATTTCACCCATAATGAAACTATACTCTACCACAGTGCAGAAGTTCTCTTCATATATCAAGTCGATTGACAAACTCAAGTGATATTTATTTGAAACGTACTCACCATTAATTTTGGCAAGTCTCCTTGTAATTGCACTTACACTCGTCGACTCGCCTTGAAACGAAATGAAGAAATGCAACGGTCAATTATTATACAGAGGAGGAGTTTCAGAATACTGAAAATTATCAGAACAATCTATCTACTCAAAATACATCAAACTGCTGTCGACCGCCTTATGTATGCCATTGCAGGGCAGAAACACATCATCACAAAATGTGTATTCAAGCTGTTCAAATCTTAGGAAATTCTAGACTGACACATTATCCAAATGAGAGAACATGTCACTGTGCAACTGTTGATATACACAGTTTCTGAATCAGAGTCAGGAGAACAGACGCCTTCGCTATTACACTGCTCTTAACCATGTATCAGGCAAGATGAATTTGATATGAAAGCGTACGCGACAGCGACCATTCCTCAGCCAAAGCTTAACTAGTGAGAATAGCCCGTGAGAGTAGCTGGCGAAATATTTAGCAGTTCTAGTGAATAAGGCGAACTTTTCGTAAGGATTAAGGAACAAATATACCATCTTTTGAAAAAAGTGCTTACCTGAATTTATGGCTGTAAGTGCCAACAGGGTGATGAAGGCTATGTGGCTGTTTGCGAAGTGGACCATCTTTTTATGGTAACTGACTTTCCGTTCCCTTATTTATACCACAAGAAGCAGTCACAATTATTGTTGTAATTGGTCGATTACAATAATCACGATTTCATCGTTCATTTGTGGATGACTGTGAGTGTTGTGATTGGTGTGTGAAACAACGTCTCATGATATCGGGTGAGTAATATAATTGGTCGGAGCAATCTGATAGGTGTAATGAAATCTATCGATCTTCAGAAACACTTCAATCCAAATAGTAAGCAGAATTCATCTGATGGTGTCCACATGAAGAAAGGACACTCGCAATACACCGTGGAAGATCACAGTTGAGAAGTCATCCGACTTTACGAAGATTTGAGTTAGCCTTACTAATCTGCAACTGAGAAAAATAACGCTTGAAGCGCTTTTCGATTAGCGCGCTACGTTTGCTTAGTTCCATAAAACTCTCATTTCTCAGGTGCTTTCTCACCAGGAAGTTGTGGGATTCATTGTACTTAGTTCACCTTTGAACACTGAATCTGTGGATATGATCTGGCTGACTGATAATACCGAAGACTAACTGTTCGGCATATTGTGACTGCTTAACACTAACTAATATCTTTAGTTGTATACATATATTGTTTGATTTACATGCTCAAGTTGACCCAAGTCAGTGACTCTGTGATTACCATATCATTTTTGTCAACTGTATTTGATAGTGATGCTGAAGCTATGGGTTCTTCTGTTTTTGTTGTCGTCGCTGGCCTTCCTGTTGAGAATATTTTCTTTTCTTGTAACTGGTGTTGTTCTGATTGCTTTATTCCTTGTTTTCCTGATTCAAAGGGGAGAAACACAAAACGTCGCTCCTCTGCAAACTATGTATTCATGTAACAACTTTTTTTCAAACGTGACACTGGCGAACCCAGTCTGTAAGCAAAGTTCCTACAGAAACTTCAGTGCAATGAGTCTCATCGCGAGAAAACAAAAAAAACTATATGAGAACATTGAACAACCGCACCATGTGCGAGACTTGAAAAGCTGCCCAGATTGCAAACGAGATGAAAAGATATGGAACTAAATTACTGGGAATAAGAGGAAGCAAATGGAACGGGAATGGCCTCACCAAACTGTCACCGGGAGAGTCGATTGTCCACTCCCCACACCCACAAGACAACCGCGAGCACACTGAGGCAGTGAGTCGCTATCATGATGTCACTAACAGAAACGAAGGCCCTGATGCAGCAAGAAGCAATCTCTTGCAGGAAAATGACAGCCAGATTCAATCAAAAAACAAGGAAAGTATCAGTTTTATAATACTTTGCACCCACAAAAAACGCAGAACTCAAAAATGAAGAAGAGTTCTGCAGAAAGCCATTGCCAACAATGGACAATACTCCATTATGGATAAGATTTCATTTTGATAAATCACACAGTGTTGTACAGTAATAGTAACTGATGCGAGGATTCAGTAATCAGCCTCTCTCTCCACCTACCTAGATAACTGTTCAGAATTTTAACTCTCTCTCATCATGCTATTGTGTGATTTTGTGTTAATGCATGTAGCGCAATTGCTGAGCTTTTTTCTAAATTACTTATCTTCTCGACTGGGATCAACCATTCTTCCTTTAGCTAAATTCTTATGTTCCGACCATCTGACTACCCAGGACCTATGAGAGATGAAAAATAAACTAAATGACATTCAACTAGAGAATGACGAATAAATGGTTAGTTTTGATATAACTAGTCTTTATACCAATATACCAATCAATATGCCCTCCTTAGAAGCAGCAGAACTAACTGCGGATCCTGAACTCACTCACAGGACAAAAGCTGAAAAAAAAATTATTTCAGTAATTCAGTTATGCCTCACATCTACTATCTTTAAGTTCCAAGGCAAAATATATAGACAAACAGAAGGTGTAGCAATGGGATGGATCACCAATATCTCCTATCGCAGCAGACATAATTATGGACAGCTGGGAAAATATGGCTCGTAATACATTTATTCCTACTCCAAAAATGTGGTGGAGATATGTGGATGACACTTTCACAGTGTGAAAAGCAGAACATATCTCTCTCTTACTTCTTGACACATGTAAACTCACGAGTAGAGGGAATAAAATTCAAATTTGAATCGAGAAATGAACAAGGAGAATTAGCAGTGGTGTTAGATTGGGAAATAAAACGAATAGAAGAAGGCAAGCTTCATACTGGTGTTTATAAGAAACCAACGTATTCCAACAGATATTTAGACTTTAATTCGTCTCATCCATTAACAATCCAAAATGTAATCTAGCTAGGTGGAGAGAGAGGCTGATTACTGAATCCTGCCTGGTTCATCGAGTCTACACCCAACACAACACATGCAACAGAAATGACTCAATGCGAATACCAGAGATATGTGTGGAAGATATTATTACCACCATTCAGACAGTAAGTCAGTCAAATCAGAGGAGGATAATGAATAATCGTAAAAGTCTATTTCAATTGAAACACACATTCAAACACACCAGACTGACGAACCAAAAAGCAAATTGACTTCATCTCAACGCTGCTCAAGGAAATGGAGAAGCAGTGTATTGGACACAAAAGTAAGAAGAGGAGCACACGTAGACTCAGACAACTATCTCGTACAAGGAACACTCCAAATCAAATTGAAAGCTTTCACAGAAATAGGAGCTGCAGACAGATCACACGTTGAGTTCAATACTCTAAAGCTGAAGGATCAGGATACAAAGGACATCTTCACTGCAAAAGTGAGGAAAAATGCGGCGACACAAACCAACGCTAGCAAAGAGAACAGCGTCGAAGAGCACGTGAACAACCTGACAGGTATGTGGCGTCAAACCTGCATGTAATTTCTAAGCAGCAACAACTGTGTCTCACTACAGACACGTGGAGACTGACAGAAGAGAGAAGGATGGTGAAACATACGATTAGCTAGTGCATCGACGATCACCGAACAAAAGATTTAAAAAGAGTGCCAGGGAAGGCAGAGGACAATATTATGAAGCTTTGCAGGTGAAGTATCACAAGCTGCAGTGCAGGCAAAGGAGACCTTGCAACACTCTACCAAAGAACTAGGTTCCTATCGGGGAAGAGATCAACACAAATTAATCCATTGAAGGATGACAATGGAAAGCCAATCGCCAAAGATGTGGAATTCGACAATGTGATATATGTCTGATTTCCCATACTCTGGACGATATGCAAGTGAAAACGCAACCAGTTGGCAGAAGAAGCATTCAGAGTAATCCGTTGTATGGTCTCTTAACATGATTCCGTGAATGTACGGATAGGAATGTGAATAAATACAGGGTGAACACCACTGTGGAATTCTCCGGCTGATTACGACCCTATATTCATTAGTTCGGATGGATTTCATGAGGTCTTCAGCACACATAGAATTAGTCAATCTAAGAGGAAACAAGTTTTTGGAAGCTAATGTGAACTGTGAACTGTGCGCAATAAGTGAAATGGTAAGAGTATGAGAAGTGATATCAGATACATCAAGAGGATAGTGAAGTTCAGGAGAGATAATGAAATA